CCAAGTATTGCATTCTTTATTATTACCAAAGCGAAATAGATATATAAAATAAATTCATTTGATATATCTCCTAAAGCGCTGCAATTGACATGATGACAAGAATAAAAGAAAGAATGAAAAAATATATATATAAAAAGTAAATATTTCTTCTTAATTTAGAGTCCCTATGATGGATGATGACGAAAGAATAGTAGATATTTCTTCCAAATTTAGAGTGCATAGGAGTCTGCTATCCCAAGCGCAATTGACAGAGATTGAACGAATTTTGCTAAAAAAAATTGAATGAAAACAAAAATAAAAGAATGAATGAAAAAAAAAGAATAGAACGTTAGTTTTTTTTCTAAATTTAGAGTGCCTAGGAATCTGCTGACCCACTCAGGCACTGTGACTAGATATGGATGTTGTGGCGCCCTCAGTCCCTTTCCCCTTCCCGCCCGGTGGGAGATGGCGCCCACCTTCCCTGGAACCTTGTGACGCACGGGCGGCTCGCTTTGCTGTGAGGGCGGGGACAGCCGTGACGTCACCCCCGACGCCAATTGACACGCCGTTGCTAAGAAAACGTTGGCCGGTGAAACTCATCCGTTGGCGGAGATATCGAGTTCTTCTGATGGACGCGTCACGGGGTGAAAATGGCCGGTGGATACGTCGGAGAGGAATGGATTAGTTGGCGTCGCCGGTGTGGATTCGTGACAGCAAATCCACTCCGAGACCATTAATCCCACCGAGACCTCTGTAGGACGGCTTACCTCCTAATATAGCGAGCGGTCAGCGTACGCAAGAACGAGCGTCACTCCCTTGCGCCGGAAATGTTCCCGCCTCCGCAACCCTCGGTGCCCGGTCCTCCCCGCCGGCGACCTTTGGCATCCCAGGCAGCACATATATACCCTGGCGAGACACGCTGGGGTATCAGTGTTTGACCGAGAAGCACTTTGCATACTCGAAGGAGAAAGCGAACTTGACCGTCCAGTGCTGGTTTATTTCCGAGGTTTATTTTTGGTCGTGACACCGTGAAAGTTCTCGCCAAGATGAAGATGCTGGTGATGTTTTCCTTCCTCGTGGCCTGTGCCGTCTCCGCTCCCCAAGGTGAGATTTCTTATTAATTAGTGGGTCAAGATGGAGGAATTTGCAATACGAGTAACGCCAAATTATCGCACCTTTTGTACAATCATAGACGTAAATCCCATGTTTATTCCTCCGTTTTCTGTTCATATCCACACCGAAATTTCGACACTCGTTTTAACACGTAAGTCGAACGTTCTCCAAAACCCAAAATAACCTAAGCTATCCACGCAACATTCACTTCCTCATATCCTCAATCACATTAAAATCCACCTTCCACATATACCTAAAAATAGCCCGTTCTTTTGCCTCATCACAGGTGGACGATCCACAAACTTCCTCGTGGAATACCGCGACAGGAAACCGAGCGTTCCCGAAATCGAAGTGATCCCGGTGGACGCATCCGCACCCGAGAATCCGTCGGCAGGACTTTACGAAATTAATGAGGTAAGTTGTTCTTGCAGGGCCCTTTAATGAGGCACTATATTCAAGATGCACCAGGCACTTCGAAGATGACAGATGGCCCTTGTGATAAAAGGAGTTTTATTATAATGAGGCACTATATTCGAATATGGCATCGGGTTGGCTCTTGCAGTGATAAAATGAGTTTATTATAATAAGGCACTATATTCGAAGATGACATAATGCACTGATAAATTGGAGGCACTATATTGATGAATAGGGTGGCTCCTTGTAGTGATAAAATGGTTTATTATAATGCACTATATTCAAGATGAATAGGATGGCTCCTTGCAGTGATAAAATGATGTTTATTATAATGAGGCATTGCATATTCAAGGATGAGACAGGGAGGTCTTTGTAGTGATATAATTAGCTTCTCATAACGAGGCGCTGTATTCAAGGATGTCATAGGGTGGGTCATTACAACGATAAAATGAATTTATTATAAAGATGAGGTACTGTATATCTGAGGGAAGCTCCTTGCAGTGACAGAATCATTGTATAGAAAAAAATAGAAGCACGGTATTGCAAGGTAGAAATAGGAAAGTTATATATGCATGAAGTTAAAATATATGCGTTAGATAAATCAGAACAAGATATGGGTTGTCTCTTTTTCGCAAATCTTCCGTTGTTTTTGTTATTATCATTAATTATTTTATTGTTATTATAATTAATCAATTTCCTTCTCCACTTCCAGATCGCCCCGACAGAGACCCCCACGACCAGCTGGTTCAGGAGGTGGCTGCGTCGCATTTTGGGTCGCAAGCCTTCCACGCCCACCACTCTTGCTCCCACGCCCACTGCGCCCGCCACCACGACCCCCCGCCCACGCAGCCTCCACGGGGACACGGACGTCAACTACCTCGGCCCCATTCCCCGTGAGAATCCTGACGCAGAGATCTTTGACATCGAGCTCGTGAGAGAAGATGCGCTGAGACACTCCTCCGGCCTCGCCCAGCCGATGATGTCACAGCCAATC